GAGGCTTTGAGGGGAAAAGTGAAGTGGCTTGGCCAAAGGTCAAAATGTGCTTGGTCTGGTGTCTTGGGTTTCCAGCTTTCTGCGCAGTGTCCTCTGCCCCTGACTGATAGGCAGACCTAAGCTAGGAGCTTGACCATCAGATAGCAGGGGTCAGAACTAAAGGGGATGGCACAGTAAGTGCTGGTCTGGGGGCCAGGCCAGGGGTTTGGTACTGAGCACTAGTTACAGGAAGGTGTTTGACATCACAACAAATGGTCTAGGTAGCAACAAAAAGTGGAAGAAACACTGAAGTTCTTTGAGAACCTCCTACATGCCAGACAGTTCTACATTTAACATTGGCGCTTCTTTATTCCTCACAGCTCTGGTGGTGCAGTGGGTAAGGCATTTGGCTGCTAGAAGTTGGTGGTTCAAACCCACCAGCTGTTCCATGGAAGGAAGATGAGGCAGTCTACTTCTTTAAAGATGTACAGCCTTGGCGACCCACCAGGGGTTGCTATGAACCAGAATCAATTTGATGGCATTTAGTTACTCCTCACAACAGCCCTGGGAGGTTTTCCATTTTAGAGATGAGAAAAAAGGTTACCAGTAAGAGTTGGCCAAAGTCACACAGCTGAAAGGTGGTAGAACTAGAATTCAAATCTCAGTCTGGGTGACTGGAGCCTGTGTCTCTACTCCACCCCAAGCTGTGGTCTAGAAGTCCCTCTAAATTCCAGGCAAGGGCAGGGATTGTTCTCAGTGGGGTACTCCTGGGCCCCCAGTGAGGGCCACTGTAGGTCAGCTGGCTGGAGTCTTGTTGGGGCAAAGTATAGCCATCTTTATATCACTCTCCTTTAGGATCTTGGCCACAGCAGACAGTTGAGGTCATTTCAGGCTCAGGCTGCCTTCACCCCTCCCGAGTGGCTGACCCATGGGCAGAAGCGGATGGTGTGCATGTGTCTGAGTCGCCCTGCTCCGCAGGCTTCACTACTAGTGTAGTCTGTGTCTCTGTGGGCCAGAGCATGGGTGTGACTAGGTGTGACTGGCTGGCTCAGTGGAACAGTAGTTACAACTCTGGTATTTATCATTATCCTCAGTTTATAGATGAGGAAGTGAGACTTGGGAAGGTTAAGTTAGTGACACAGCAAGTACTTAATGGGGCTGGGAGCAAGACTTCTGACCCCCTTAAAGTGTGTTCTGTCCCCTACATACCTGCTGTCCCAACCCAGGTCCATTAACAGCTCAGGCACCTAAACACCAGGGGCTGGCATGGAGGAAGAGGATGGCAGGACTAGGAGGGGCTGGGGCACTGGGCGACTGGACAGATGTCCAAATGTCAACACCTCAAGATTCTGTGCCCAAGAAGGTGGGCCCAGGATCAGTATCTACAGGGGTCTAGTTCAGCAGGCCGCTGCCCTGTGCAGATCAACACAGGCCAAAGCCAATGCCAGAGTTCTTGGCAATCCATCTGTTTGGTACAAGACTCCAGCCAGACCATGGAGCAGGGAGTAGGAGTGACAGGTACCAAGAATCAAGGAGAGAAGGCAGGGTAGGCAAAGACTTCTGAATTTAGGCAGACACTTAGTAGCTGAGTGGCCTTGGGTAAGTTAACTACACTGTGTTCATCTACAGATGGGGGACAAAATGTAAAGCTCTTGACCCAGGGCAGTATTGGTCCAGGGATCAGGGCAGCATGGTGGGGAGGCTTCCCTGGATTCTAGGTATGTGGCCACAAGATGAATCCCAGGGTTTACGTGCAGGTAAGAAGGGGGCAGAGAAGGTGCCGAATCTCCCAGGATCCTGCCTTGGTCAGGGCTGTACTGGGAACTCAGCCAGTGAGTGCTGGGCGGCAGTGACTCAGGCCATGGGCAAAACTGGCACTGACAAGGCTGCCACCAAGGAAATGATGATGGTGCAACAGACATTAGATGTTTTCAGCCAGAGTGCACACAATGTGGAAATAAGCACTGGTCTTTAATCTCAACTGGAATAAATATGTTTGCTTCTCTATATTCTATTTCTTGTTCTCCATAAAAGCATAAAATTGTCCCAGAAGCTGCGGTCCTGCAGCAACTCCTTCCACATCGCGTCTCCTACCTAGAGTGTTGGGTGGCAGACAGCAGAATGAAGTCTTGTAATAACATCTGCCCTTGTTCACATCCCTTCACGCCCCTTCACATCCCCATGCATGGAGGAACAAACATTTTCTTAGAAGTACCTGCCGCCCACTAGTTGAAGAGTCACTTAGTTTGGAGTTGCCTCTGGTTTTCTTTATTGAATAAAATTTTAAGAAAATAAAAATGTAGATGGTTTAGGAATATACTAGAATATTCACTAAAAGACACTGCCACTTGGGATTAAATCAAAGAACTATTTGACAAAGGCAACTTCTCAGGGATGCCCCCTGACACACACCTTATGGCCAGTTAAGTCTTGAAAAGCACCATCTCTTTAGCAAGTTCTATTCACCCCCAAAGCTTCCACAGGCCTGCTAGGAGCACAGGAGACTTGAGACCCAGAGCAGACAAACCCCAGGAGCTGCTGTCTGAGTGTGGGGGGATGGGGAGCAAGGGCACCTGAAGAACCCAACATCTGCCCCTTTGCCTAGAGAGGCACTGTTATTTTCCCTCCTTCCTCTCTGAGAGGGAGTAATCCTGTGCAAAATGCCCACTAGGGTGAGTGACAGAGCGGGCAGAGGCCTGGCCCACCGCCTCAGCCCCAGCACAGCAGCCAGCCCCCACATAGTGAAGCTGCTGCTGCTGCTGTCTCCTCAGCACTCCTCAGAACCGCATCTTCATGTCTGGCACCCCCCTTCCTCTTCACTCCAAGCTCATTTCACTAATAGGGCACTTCTTCCTTCACTTCTTCTAAAAGCTATCCCACCTTCAACAGAGCATGGGAGACCCCCTACTACTTCCAAATTAGCTCCAGGGCAGCCCCATCTCAGCCCTCAGAGACAACCGTTTTAAGACAGACACCACTGCCCATTTCTAAAACACTAGAGACTGAGATGAGTCGCCAACCAGATGGATCCCCCAAATCATCCACAGCATTAAAGTCGGGGTGAAAAATAGCCCAGGAGAGACTGCAGGCTCCTGAAAGGGGAGGGGAAATTTTTTAAAAAATGTATCAAGTTTTAGAAAACCTCTCAAGGGTGTCCTCTTCAATTCTCTGGCCAAAGAGGGGATGTGTACCAGACTGAGACGGCGGGCAATATAAGCTGCTGCCTCTGGGTAGATTACTGACTGCTTCCTGGTGCAGTCTGCTGCTGCTGGACCCCACCGAGCCAGCCCGCCAGAGAGGGCCAGGGCCGACTCTTGCTGTCAGGGCTGCTCTGTTCTTTCTGCCTCATCTTAAGAAGGAACTCCTGATCTGCTGGAATTCCTTTCTCTCTGATTCCCAAGACAGCCTGCTCCCCAAGGAACAGCCTTGCAGGAAGAGTCTTTAAAGAATCCTGTTGTTGTTGTTGTTATGTGCCGTCGAGTCAAACCCGACTCATAGCAACCCCTCCTTGGGTTTCCGAGGCAGTATCACTACGGAAGTAGGATTGCCCAACCTTCCTTCCGAGGAGTGGCTGGTGGGTTTGAACCACCAGCCGTCTGGTTAGCAGGCAAGTGTCTTAGCCACTATGCTACCAGAGCTCCCTTTAAAGAATCCTACAAATGATTTATGTCAGGCGTGATAAATGTATCTCCCCGGGTGGGGCAACAGAACCCTAGGGTGTTCTTTGAAGCAACAGCGTCAAAATAACACTACTACTCAAAGCAAACCAGGACAAAACCGCAGCTAATTCTGCTGACCAGTTTCAGAATTCTATTGGTTTTGATAAAAAATAGACTTATGACCATGAAGGGGCTTGCTGGCCCCACTCTGGATGGGACCCTGGGCTGGATGCCTTCTGCCTGCTTTTCTAGGTCCACTTTTCACCCATTCTGCCTGCTCCTTGGCTGTGGCTCAGTCCACAGAGGATACGGAGACTGGAGGGAGGGGATGTATTCCCTCAGCATCTATCTAAAGGCTCCCCAAAGGCTGGATATAACCACTACCCAAAGCCAAGGTCACATTTCCAAGTTCTAGAATAACTCCCTTTCCTCATCCCTTCAGGCCTTACTACTTCACTAACTAGTTCTGGAATATAATGCACCGTGGGTTTCCTATATGCTCTCTTAAAGTATCTTAAAATGACCCAAATTAAGTATGCTTCTGTTTCCTGACTGATACACTGACAAGGCTTTTATAAAATATCCAAGTATTTATTATGCCCTTGAATCAATGACCTTGATATATTATAAACACAAACATTAAAAGACCTCCCCCACAACCCAGACTACAGACCTGTATGCTCTGTCCCTGGTGCGGGGAGGCCCTCTGGAGCCTCCTCATGTTTACGAAATGAAGGATCCTTTGAAGGCCTGAATGTCTGGGTTTTCCAGCCTAACTGATAGGTGGTCTCCCATCTGCAGCATGTGGGGGTCTTCACAGGCTTGGGTCTTGGGCCTGGGGACTGGCCATCCCAGGGGACCACCATCAAGGAGGACTCCCCCAGGATAGGGGGGACTGAGAATTCTCTCACCTCTTGCTGTCAGGTGGAAGGAGCAAGGCTGGAAAAACAGTTGGATTTTGCCACTAGTTTTGTAACAACTCAGTGGTAGATCAGACAGTGGTAACACATTTTTTAGAAGAGCTAGAAACCAGCAGGTGGCTATAAGGAAGGGTGGAATGTTAAGTATCAGGTATAAAAGTGATACTCCTACTTTTTAACTGTGGAACTATGTCTTCACTGGTCCTATTCAAATGTCTCTAGAGTGTTCCATTAAAGTGCCTGGAATGTAACAAGATAATTTTCTTCATTCTTTCCTTGGGGGCACAGATGAGGCCTGAGGAGGCTCTGCTCTCTGCACTCAGTGGAGCTCCAGCCCCTTCTTCCATGCCACCCAAGCCCTCCCAGCACTTCCTCACCACAAGAGTCATATTACAGAGGCTCCAAAGAGTCACGTGGCCCTGACATCCTGGCCATCACCCTCCTAGATGAGGTGTACCAGCAGGGCAGAGCAGGCTGAGCCAAGCAGCAAACCCAAACACAGGTAAAAGGACATCACCACCCCTGTGGCCTCAGCCAGCTCCCTAGACACGATCTTCGGCCCATAGATGAGAGCCAGGGTGCTGAGGTAGCCACTGCTGAGCCCCAACAGACAGGTGAAGAGTATGGGGTAGATGTCAGATGTGAAGCCCACCATCTTCAGGTGCACACGGGGCTGGTAGTTGCAGAATATAAAGAGGGGGATAAAGCAGGTCCGGAGGAGCACAAGCCCCAGGAGCACTTTACTTTTGGGCCCTGGCACCTGGATCCAGGCTGTGATCTGCCGGCCACAGAGGTCAGCAAAGTTGAACAGAAGGAAGATGGTGAGGGGGACAAAGAACTTTGTGGTCCACAGTGAGCCCGAGCCCTTGTTGAGGGACTCGATGTTAGTGGAGACGGCGGGGAAGATGAGGCTGGTGATGAAGAAGAGGTAGACGGTGCAGAAGCCCAGGCTGGCGGTTTTCTTCAGGATAGGACAGAGGGGTGGTATGTGAGGTTTATTAGGTCTGGAAGCCAACAAAGAGGCATTAGGGGAGTCCCGGGACAGTTCCTCTTCACCAGAAAACACATGGGCTGGCCGAATAGGCTGCATGTAGTACCTGCAGGGAGGAGAGAATGCATATGGTCAGAGGGCCAGCCATAATGCAGGCTCACTTGGGATGTCCCTTCAAAACATAATTGTTGAAAGAATGGGTAACCTATAAAAGTGCTTTTCCCCTATACCCTCAACACTGAATATTATCAGTCCTTTGAATTTCTGCTGCTCTGATCAGTGCAAAAGCTTGGGTCACTTTGCCTTGCTGTGTGACCTTGCCTACGTCACTTGATCTCTCTGGGCCTCAGGTATCTGAAAACCAGGAGACATAAGGCTGACTGTATTAACATAGCTCTGGGGTGGAGGTGGGGGGAAACCTCAGAATCAGCACAGAGTAGATATTCAAAATAAAACCTTTAGGTCCAGCATGTAAGGACAAAGCCCCACAGGGCCCATCAGCCCCAGGATCCCCTAAGTTGACATACACTGTTACCCAATGGCCAGAGGAAGGCCTCACAGTCCCAGCCTGGCAGCCTAAAAGGCTGGGCTCCATTCTGTGCTGTGGTGGTGGCTATGCCAGGAGCAGGGAGAGAGGAAACCAGCATTGACCACCACATGGCAAGCCTGGGTTCTAGTCTTAGCTCGCCTGTTTTTATTTTGTTTTGGAAGGGGGAGGTGGAGATAAAATAGCATTGAAAAATATAATTTATTTTGAATTATGAAAGTAATACATGCTGATGTGATGAACCCACATGGTACAGAAGAGAAATGAAACAGAGAGAACTCTCAATTCCCACCTCCAATAGTGCTTCTACATGGTACCAACCTATTAACAATCTGGGGCATATTACTCCACTCACTTGCAGACATGACACACATGTACACATGCATGCACATTTAGTTACATTTCTTAAAGACAGGATCAAATTGTACACGTTACAAAACTTTGTGCAGCAGAATAATGAAATACTGCCTATAATACATATACACATACATTTAACTGCCTGATAGTGAAGAGGACCTGAAGCACTTACTGATAAAGATCAAAGACTACAGCCTTCAGTGTGGATTACACCTCAACATAAAGAAAACAAAAATCCTCACAATTGGACCAATAAGCAACATCATGATAAATGGAGAAAAGATTGAAGTTGTCAAGAGATTTCATTTTACTTGGATGCACAATCAACATCCATGGAATCAGCAGTCAAGAAATCAAATGATGTATTGCATTAGACAAATCTGCTGTAAAAGACCACTTTAAAGTGTTAAAAAACAAAGATGTTACTTGGAGGTAGGTGCACCTGATCTAAGCCATGGGTTTGTCAATACCTCATTATGTATGCGAAAGCTGGACAATGAATAAAGAAGACTGAAGAACTGATGCCTTTGAATTATAGTGTTGGCGAAGAATACTGCGTGTGCTATGGACTGTCAGAAGAATGAACAAATCTGTCTTGGAAGAAGTGCAGCTGGAATGCTCCTTGGAAGCGAGGATGGCAAGACTTTGTCTCATGTGCTTTGGATATGTTATCAGGAGGGACCAGTCCCTGGAGAAGGACATCATACTGAAGTTAAAGTAGAGGGTTAGTGAAAAAGAGGAAGACCCTCAACAAAAGAGATTGGCAGTGGCTGCAACAATAGGGTCAAGCCAACAATTGTGAGGATGGCCCAGGACTGAGCAGTGTTTTGTTCTGTTGTACACAGGATCACTATGAGTCCAAACTGACTGGATGACACCGAACAACAACAAAAATTGCCTGAAGAACAGTATCTTGTGGCCACTCTCTCACATGAGTACATATAGATGTGACTATTTCTTTGCAGTGTTGGTACATAATATTTCACTGTGTGGACACACAATTGAACTGCTCCCCTACTGAGGGGCATTTAGGTTGACTCTTGTTTTCCACTATTACAAATAATGTCATGATGAATACCACTATACATAAATCCTTGCGTACTTATACTAGCATTTTGGTAGTAAAAATCTGTAGAAGAGAAAGTACTGGATTAAAAGGTTTGCACATTTAAAATTTTGACAGATATTGATATTTGCTCTCCAAGCGGTGCCAATTTATCTCTGCTTCTTGACCTCCCACTTACCCACCTAATCATTTGTTTATTTCCTTCAAAAAACTGACTACAATGAGACAAAGTATATGTGAACTACTGTATGAAAAGTGAATTTACTCTGTAAATCTTCACCCAAATCTTAATTAAAAAAAAAAAAAAAAAAAACTGACTACACCTTCAATAATTGCATGTGCTATTCCAGGCAGCCCCCTGGGGCAAAGACCACACTTGATTGTTCACAGCTAAATCCCCAGCACCCTGCCTATACAGAGTAGCCCTTTAAAACATATTTGCTGAAAGAAGAAGTTACCTGTAAAAGTGCCTTTCCCCTATACCCTCAACGCTGCATATTATCAATCCTTTCAGTTTCTGTTACTCTGACCACTGTAAAAGCTTGGTATACTTTCTGAGTGACCTTCCCTATGTCACTTGACCTCTCTGGGCCTCAGGTGTCTGAAAACCAGGAGGCAGAAGGCTGACTGTATTAACATAGCTCAAAGAGAACAGCTTGGTGTGGTGGTGGGGAACAGTACCTACGTTATTGCTGGGTTCTGTCTCCCTGTGTGACCTTGGGCTAGGCCCTCCTCTTTCTGGGCCTCAGTTTCCTCCTCTGTAAGATGCAGCTGTGGGCTTTTAAGTTATGGAGGAGTTTAACTGGCAGTTCCTGCCACTTTTCCCATCCTAAAAGCCTACAGATAACAACCAAGTCAAGGGGATGACTCTTACCCCAGAATTACATTTCCACATGATGCTGAGCAGGCTGCTTCCACTTGACATTTGTGAGGATGCCACAGGACCATAGCTGTTTCACAATTACTATCTAAGAAGCGGAACATTCTTACTTCCCCCTCTACTTGGTGTCAGGTCCTTGCCTCAAATCTACTCCAAGAAAGCAAGCTCCCCATTAAGTTCTGCTTAAAGCGCTTCCTCATAAATTCCCCCAATCTCCCTACCTCATCTCAACCTCAGCCTCTAGCGCTTGCCATGGAATGGCAACGTCTGATATCCAACAAATGACCAGCGTTGCATAATGCTCAGTCCTTCCTCAGCAGGGTGGGGTGGCTCAGCTGAGGCCTCCTGGGGAAGCATCTGTGGCTTCCATTTTAAATTAAGATTTAGTGTGAGTAGTAGCCTCAGGAGCACAACTTTCTCTACAAGCTCCACCCTCAAACGAGTTTCAATAAACCCAGAAGTCTTGACTAGTTTTGATTAAAAAGCAACAGAGACTTCCACAGGAGGGAACAGCCCTGGCTGTTTACTATCTCACATGCCCAACTAGAAAGGACTTTGACCTGGCTAAACAAGACTGGAAACTAGGGTGACCAGTTGTCCCAGTTTTAGCACTAAAAATCCTTTGCCCTGGGAACCCTCTTAGTCCCAGGTAAATAGGGATAGTTGGCCACCCTAATGGAAACCACAAAAACCAAATCAAACTCACTACTATTGAGTCAATTCCAACCCACGGCGACCCCAATTGGGTTTCCAAGGTGGTAAATCTTTACAGAAGTCGATCGCCCCATCTTCCTTCTGCAGAATGTCTGGTTAGCAGTCAGATGCCTTAGGCACTGTGCCACCAGAGCTCCTTCCACTGGAAACAGATCCACCCAAATACTCTGAAATGGGAAATACAACCAGAATATTCCTTAGAAGTGAGGAGGGTCACACTTTGACTTGCTTACTTTGGAAACATCATCAGAAAAGACCAACTTCTAGTAAAGAACATCATGTGTGGTAAAGCAGAGGATCAGTGAAAATGAGGGAGATGCTCAGCGAGATGTGCTACCTACCAACAATCATGAAGCTGGTGCAGGACTGGGCCGTGTTTCGTTCTGTTATACACAAGGCGGCCATGAGTTGCTGACTCATGGGCAGATGAACGAGGTACAGATAGATCCTGCCTAGCTCAGTGCAGGTATAAAGGGGGTTCCTACTGAAAAAGGAAGAATCAGGACTAGACTTATCCCCAGCTCTGCCAAGTCACGCATTGTGTGACCACAGATCACTTAGCCTTCTCTTTGTTTCCTTGTCTCTAAAACAGGAATAACAATTCTTGTCTTTCTTACATCACAGGGTTGCTTTGACCTTCAAATAAGATAATGGATATGAAACTGCATGGAAAAGAAGAAAACATAGGAAAAAGTTCAGGGTTATTTTTTGTCTAAGAGCAGCAGGAAACACCGAAAAAAAGGAGGAACTAGAGAGAAAGTAAGAGAGAGACTCAAGGCAAGAAATAACTGTAGGATGGAGCAGGCCCTGTAGTGCAGTGGTTAAAAGCACTGGTTGTGATCCAGGTTCGGATCCTGACTCTGTTCCTACTGACTTTAGACTCAAGCAAGTTCTTTAACCTCTCTGAACTCGAATTTTCTTTCTTTCTTTCTTTCTCTTTTTTGTGATTTGGGTAAAAATTTATAGAGCAAATTCACTTTCCATACAACAGTTCACTTACACTTTGTCTCATGACACTGAATACAATTTACCCCAATGCAACAGCTCCCCTCCCACTTCTTCCCGACAGTTACCTCTTCCCTGTGTCCCTCCATGCACTCCTGCCCCCTGAGCTGTCTCCCTGTGCATAAGTAGCACTTCTTTCTCCCATGATTGTTCTCTCCAAGGAGTGTATCTACCTCAGGTAAATGTTCAACTCATATGCCTGTCTTTTGTTTGGTTGGAAGCCACAGGTGTGGGTTCAATTCCAGACCTGAAGGGCAGCTAGGGACCATAGTCTCAGGGGTTCTACCAGGCTCTATCGAACCAGCAAACCTGGTC